TGATAACAGCAAAAGAGATTATTACTAGAGAAGTGGGAGTTACACCCTTCTCCCCTGGGCTCGCCACTACCCCTCGCCCACCACGTTGTGGACTTAAATATGTTACCTAATGTGGAATTCCCCTCTATTAACGTTGTTTTTTGGTGTTCTTTCTATTAAGGAAACAATTACTTGACTAGCTAATCTACACGTCTAGTCTAATTATTTGACTTCACACCTAACAACATTTGAAAACCTTGTTTGTCGTAATAATAAGGAACAACTAAGTCGACCAAAAGTTTGGGTATGTTTATATTCAAAAAGATATGGGTACACCTAAATGATCAATTACTCAATTAGCTATAGATGAAAGTTGTTTATAGACAACTAATGTAAATGAGACTTATAAAGAGTGTCAATGTATGTTTTAACTTATTTTATTTCATAAACAGAAAAACTGGTTTTATTTATATGGTTTCGTAACGGATTATTTTTTGTGCATGTTCACTTATTAAAATTTGTGTGCATAGTAGTCTTGTACATTATAAATCGCATTTTTCTGTTTCTACTATTTGTTTGCTTATCTTTCTCCTCGTGTCTTCCCTCTCCTAGTTATTGGTATAGAACATATCCCTTCTGAGTTGATAATATTTTTCGATCATTTTTTATTGATTGTGTGAATTAATAATGGGTTAATTTGTGGTATAAAAAAAAATTATATCCAAAAAACTAATCGAAAGCTTTATATCTAATGGCTAGAATATTGCAACATAAAGGATTTTTGGTTAGTTTTTAAGATATAATTTTTTTTTGTTATATAGCCAACTATTTATCTCTTTAATAATTACAAACTTTTTTTTTTTTTTGATAAAAGGTATTCTATTGAATTGCATTAAAAAAATGTTACAAGGATATGATTGTTTAGATCATATAGTTCAAAGAAGAGACTAGAAAGATAGTTAAGTAGCATACATGAGTGTATTGGTTAAGAGATAATAGTTGTAGGAGCATATGTCTTTGACAATATTCCTAACGAGTTGGTCCGCGGCCTCGGCCACGTTTTCCATTGTTTCCTCTCCCACCCACTGTGGTCCACTGCATTTCTTGAACTTTTACCGTGGATTTGATTGGCCTACCTCCTCGAGTCCATTGAGAGGTTGAATCTTCTTCAAATTCTCCAAATGTAACCTCGACCTGATTACAACCCGAACCATCACCTTGGCCAGCCATATTAGTGACTAGATTAGGTGTAGGAGTTTCCAAGTGAACCGGATCAGAGAGATGACCCCAAAGAGGCAAATTTTTCTACACATATCTTGTTGCTCGGAGTAATGTCAAGTGGTTCTTGATGACCATCAGTAGTTAGGGGAGAGGTTTCTATGGAGCCTGATACACATGTTGAAACAGGTTCGAAATATCCATCCACTAGTGGAGCAACACTAACAATGGGAGTAACTTGAGGTTCTGTCGCCACAACGGCGTCAGAGACAATTGTTTCAGAGCATGATACAGCCACACTAAGGGCTGGAACAACATTAACAGTAACAACTTCATCTAGTGTATTGGCTACTCCTATGGTTAAATGCATAAGACAACGCGATTCCTTATGACCTAGCTGCCCACATCTATTGCATTTAGAAGGGATCCAAGAATAGTCTACTTCCACCAATGAGACAATACCTTTTTTTTGTCTCTAGTTGCAATCCTATGAGGGAAATTTTTATCTAATTCAACTTCTACCAAAATCTTAGCCTCTCCCATCATAGATGGATCTAGCCTAGGTTTTTCAGTTAGGACTGGTTCCCCTAATCCCGAAGCTATCCAACTAATTCCAACATGAGAATATAGACGGCTAGGGATATCTTTCAGAGTGACCCAAATAGGGACAGAAGTGATTTCAGGCTTCAGCAGTCCAAGGGCTAACAAACAACAAACATTCATCAACATGCCAGAAACCTCTTTGTAGAACCCATGCTCTAGTGGAGGCATCTGGGATGTGGAACATGGAAGACGATTCTCCTAGTTTACGGGTAAAAATCCTACATTTCTTACCCCATATTCGATTTGCAACGGCATTGATCAGTCCTGTAGAAGGTGTTTTACAACGAAAGAATTGACCAATGACATACTCCTTTTGGTTCTCAAGCCCGTGTAACAAGACATGGTTTGGGATTTCAATCATAGGCGTACCGTCTTCTAAGTAAGTCGGGGAAGTTTTTCGGAGCTTCAGATTCATCTTCGCTGCCCAAGGAAAACGAAGCTGTCCATCCTCCTTAAGCGCTGGTGGAGGAGGTTGATTACCCGAATCCAACTCTAGGATAAGTTTAGGCGGCTTCATCAGGGACGAAAGGAGCCATAGGAATTGCAGTCGAATCCACATCCTGGGCTACACTGTCGGTCAAGACCGGGTTAATCGGCGATTTGAMGATATCATTAGTCACCGGCATGTTGAGAAGCGAGCTTTCGGGTGGAGCAACAACAGGAAGATGAGTCATCGTGTATACTGAACCGAGAGAGGAGGAGGTCGAGAGAGCAGAGGACGGCGGCCTTCAACGGCAGTAAGATCCGATGACCTCGCCAGGGGCGGAGCCGTCGAGAACAGTGAGCGGCGGCGGATCTAGGTTTTGTGCCACCTCGGTAGTTGGGTCTGGGAGAGAAATATTTTTTCAACTATAATGGGATAATAATTACAAACTTCAAATATTTTTATTTTAGCCACAAATTTTAATATGTGTAGGAATATCATATTACGGGAGGTTACGCTCTCTTGCGCCGCCTGGTAACA